CAATTGAATCAAAGAATGGAAAGGTGTTTAATAAATAAATTTTTAAAAATGTTTTCTTTCTTCCACTTCATTCTTGGCCATTTTGATAAACTGTTTTTGTTTTGTTTTGCTTTTTTACTTTTACTTTTTCTGAATAATTAACAATACCCTCATCTGTATTTCCATAGTACTTTGGAAAGTAACTTTAGACATGGTTTTAGATTTTATAACTTTTCTTGGCATGATTATAAGACTGATTATACTGAATAGTAATTATCCATGTTAGACTGAGATTGACTTTTTTATTATTATTATTTGTTAACCTTAGCACTTTCACTGTATCAGGAACAAAATTTGTGCTCAATAAATTTGTGCTGCATAGGCCATATTAAGTGCGCTTCTGTACTCCCTTATCATCATTCTGCTCTCTCTGTTGTGAGGAATCCATTCAGTTCCCATGCCCTTCTTCAGTTCCCATGCTTCACTTCAGCCCCAGTGGTTCTGAGGACTGAAATTTGTGTTCCAAAGCACATTTCTGTATAAGGACATATGAGGTGTATGTGTGGGAATGGGGTAGAATCAGGAAAGGAAAATGCTCTCTTTCTACATTTATGTATACTATTCTGTGATGTCCATTTCACTTTTTCTTTTTTCTTTTTTTCTTTTTTTACCTCATTTTAGTTAAGGACACAGTTTTTATTAACTGGCTTCCTAGAAGATCAAACATCTGGTGTAGGAAAATCTAGTCATGTACATCCCTGGTCAATACCCTTCCAGTGGCCCAGGGGATAAAATCCAAATCCTTTAACTCTCATCTTTAGGCTCTAGTCACCAGCAGCCTCTAGCAGACCTCTGACCCACTAGTTTCTCCTACCTGGTCTCTGTCTAGAATAGTCCATATGTCCCTTTCCCTTGCTTACTCCTTTCTGAACTTTACCAGTTTCTATGGACTCCCAGTGGGGGACTTAGAAAGCAGCTGAGATGAGAACCAGAGGCCCAGAATGAAAGCTCTCTAGCAAGATGATTAATTACAGAAAGTATATGTGACCCAAATTGCTTACATTCTGAAAGTTATAACAAACTTATTCCTCGGATATTGGCAGCTAGCTCGTCAATGTCATCAGCAAGCTAATGAACATCAAAAATGTTTTTTAATTATGCTAGCCTTCATGGGAAGAATCCTTAACTGAATTTTCCTCCTAAATTTATTCTTGAATGAAAGTCATTCTTTCCTTAACCTATTTCTTTTACACACAAAATGCAAGTAACCCAAAGTTAAATAAGCTTGTGTATCAAAAACAAAATATTGACACAAAACACCATTTTTCTTTTCATAAATATTTTTCACATCTTAAATTCACTGGAAAATGCTGAGGGGAGAGAGAGAGAGAAGGAGAGAGAGAGAGAGAGGGAGAGAGAGAGAGCCTCACAGACGAAGCTTTATGACTGACCACATATCAAAGAGGCCCTGAGTCTCTCAGTTCCTTCTTGGTAAACCAGACCTGCTCCCAGCCACACTTTCTTTCAGTGTTGACTCTACTCCTGGTTACCAGTTGGAGACTTTCATGCCACTTTCCTTTGAATTCGCTTGCCATTTCTCACTAAGACTTGGCAATGAGGACTTGGATCACCTGGATGCCAAAGGCAAGCCCATCATTTGGAACCCATGTAGGAATGTGGAAAGAGAGGCTGGGGTTAACCTCAGGTCACTCAAAGTGTACCACTTTCAAGTATAAGAAGGATCCTTGTTGCGGAGAAAGGGAAAATATTAGAGCATAATGGTGTCCTTTAAAAATGTAATGTGTACTGGAAGTTGATCTTTTAAATGACCTGCCTCTTACTGTAAACAGAACTCCCTTTTTGACAGCCCAAGCATGTCAGAAAAAATTCTTGCTTCTTGAAATAAAAATAACATTTTTTCACTTTTCTCTTTTTAAAATGTATGTATATAAAACTTTTCTGTATTATTCTCATCTTTAGTATAGTATAAAACTTTGATTTTCATTCAAATGACCTTAATTATTTATTTTTGTAAGTTACTTATTGGCAACAACTTTCAGCTTAAAAACTCTTGTCTCAAAAGAGCTATACTACCACAGTATTCAAAGGGTAAGTAAAATATCTTTGCCTTGAAACTTCTTAGGGACGATCAGGTTATTTCTTTATGTCCTGCTCAAAATATGGACTTAATCAAATCTAAAAAAAAATAAACAAAACCAGAATTGTTTTGAAAGGAAATGAATACACAAGGAAGAAATCCTTAAGGAATGAAGATGATTTTACTTAGAGATTTCTTTGTATCAAACTACCAACTGTAGACCAGAAATAAACACAATGATGAACCATTAGTGGGTGAGCAAATAAAATAGCAGGCATTTTTACATTGTTATAGAAGTACAAAAGCTTTTGTGTATGTATGTGTGTAGGTGTGAGTGTGTGTTTCACAATAGCATAGTTAACATCTCTATAGTCCTCAGCAATTTACAAAGGGTTTTCAGATATTGTATCTGATGAGCCTTATAACAAAGCCTGCTTTTGGGCAAAGATGGTGTCTCTCATAAGACATTTTTATTGAAAAAGTTCTGTTATTCCATTTCAATTTTACTCAATATACCTTTCTGTGATAACTTAATTTTCACCTTCTTTTTAAAATTTAATTAGTCTATTAACTAAATTATTTATTAAACACTTTTATTTATAAATCACCTTGTTGGTTCTGGAGTTGAAGTGTATATAAGATAGTCTCAATCTAAAGGAGTCTGTGTTGTATTTGGATAAATAAGAAAAACTAAGTATTATAAAACTATAACATATTTAAATAAAAGTTTATATCATATAGTGAATGTAAAATACTCAAGGTATTACATATAAGTGAATTTATCAAATGAATAATTGAGGAAGGGGTTCCAGTCTGATTGCTCTCAGACCAAGGATGTGCAATGCTTATACTTGATAATTTGAAGTTTTAAGGGCCAACACATAAATTAGAAAGTTTCACATTGACATTTCAGAATTCTTTTAATAATCAGAACTCACAGCAACATCGGGCCCATATTTCCATGTGGCACATGTGAGTGAGTTGGAGAAGAAGCAGCTCTAGTTAGATGAGGCAGATTTATCCAACATTGGGGTTCCATGTAAGGGGCTACCTTGTTACACCCAACCTAGCTCATTCATTAAGATCCTGGCCTCTGGATGCAGCTACATTTGCAACTTCTGTGTTAAACTAATAACTGCTATGGACCATTGGAAGACAAAGATACTACAAGCTTAGTTTCTAAGGTCCTAAAGAAGATAAGGATGGGAGGCACTGGGTTTCAGGGGATAGACAACAGGAAGTCATGAACAAAAGGACCAAGACAAGAAAGCAAGTGTGTTTCTTGAGACACAGGTAAACCAGTTGGCTAGATCACTGTGTCAAGTACAGCAACTGAAACCTCCTGAGAAGGATAGTAACATTGGTATTCTTTTTACCTAATCTAACCTGCTACCAAAATAATTACAATCTATTTTGCAGTCAGGACTTGTTTTTCCTGATAATCCACTTCACCTTAAAAATGGCAGTCTTCTTTGATTTCCACCCAGGGTGATTTATCTTCAGCAGATGTGATCTCCCTGATGTGGCCAATGACTGGTGGTCAGAGCCACCACTAGAATAATACACATAGGCTTCTATAGGAGATAAATAAAACAATAATACCTTTTCATGTGGCTGCTCCCATAAGCCCTTTTGATACCTAGTTGTCAAACACTGCTCTTCTGAAAGTGAAAACGTGTGTTTCTGGGTCATACTAACATTGAGACCACTGCAACTAACAAGTCTGAGTTTTTGTTTAAAAAATGCGTTGGGGTTATAGAGCAGGAAAAATGGAATCTATAACAGAAAATTTTAAGTGAGCTTAACTGTTTGCACTTTTTAGAAAGTTATTTTTCAGACTTAATTAATTTCCCCTGAAACTAAAAGATTAATATGAATAAAGAAAAGCAAAATACAAAAGGACTATTCTTTTGTGTAAAGAAGTGGAACATTTAGAGTGGAAAATGTAAAAACATGACAAAAGGGTACCTATAAAATTTCTGATTGTTATTAATTTTCCCCAAATACTGAACGATGTCAGGTTATAAAAATGAATTGCTTTACTTTTGAGGTAATTCAATTGCCCTATGTAAATTCAGTGAATACAATGTCTTTATAAGAGACAGTCCTTGTGGAAAAAGTTCAGTGTGCACTTCGGAGTGTCCTGCACCTCTTCCCTTTGAAATGTTACCTGGTCTCAGTTACCATCTGCTCCTAATTTGATTCAGTGGCAAAGAACCAGCTGAGCTTGTGTCCTCAAGCTGAAGGAGGCACACTGCATCAGGCTTCCTTCTGGTGGTGTTCTTTATATGTCTGCTAAAGTTTATTGACTCAGCAACTTTATGAAGTTTTGTTAAAAATACATAAGGCTAAGAGCATATATGCATAACCCATGGACACAGACAACAGTGCCGAGGGGGGGGGCAAAGTGGGGACAGAGGAAGGGAGGACATCCGTAATAGTGTCAACAATAAAAAAATACATAAAGCTGCATTTAAGTAATGTATTTTTGAACTCTTAGTTAGCTATCAGGTTCATTCAAAGCTGTTATGTGACTTTTTAGCTAGTTAAATAAACAAGAGTTTCTGCTATAGCTCTTATTTTATATTATTCTACTTTTTCTTTCCACATCAGAATCTTTATCATAAAGCAACTGACTTGGTTCATTTGGAATAGACTGAGTATATGCCCCTTAGGGTCCTTTGGAGCTCTCTGGTTTGTTTAGTTCAGTTCATCTAATACATGACGATCATTGCTATGTGCCTGACACTGTGATAAGTGTTGTCCTAGAGCAGCAAATATGATTGACAGTGCCATTGCTTTCCCTGAGTTTCCAGGCTTTTGGAGAAGACAGACATTAACTATGGAGACTGAAAAACCAAAACAGACTTTATAGTTCAAAAGAGTTGTTTTTTCACTGCTTGCCACTATCTTGTACCCACAGTGTCCTTGGGTGCTGGTCAAAACAGAACTCGGTGTGATCTGCTCTGCTGTGTTCACCACAGACAACGAGATGTGGCCTGTGGATGTTCCCCAGGCAGCAACTCCTGTTCCTGGCCTTTTTCCATCCAGACAAAAAGCCTTCCATCCATCTAAGGCAGGGGGTTCTCTGTGGATAGAAGGCCAGATTTGACGTGTTGTCTCTTTTTTATGTGGTCCAAAATCTAAGAGTGGTTTTACATTTTTAAATAGTTGAAAGCAAGTCAGAATACTTCATGACACATGAAAATTATATGAAAATCAAATTTGAGGGTCCATAAATAAAGTTATGTTAGTATATAGTCATGTTCATTCATATATTAGATTATAGTCATATTATCTGTCTGCTTTCTTGCTACAATAGCAGAGCTGAGTAGTTACAACAGAGACCAGAATGACCTGCAAAGTCAGAAATATTACTATCTGACTCTTTCCGGAGAAGTTGGCCAATCCCTGATGAATATTATCTCCTTTCTGATCTTCCCCCCATTATTCACTGTATAATTCGGGCCATATAACATACCATCCCCTCATCTATCCTTCTAGTTCCTGAATCTTTCCTCCAACAAGAGCACAACAACCTCACTTTACAAAAACTCCATAACTCATATTCAAAATAGGGAGGGGAGATGATAGACCTCTAGCAAGCCAGAGGCATGGCACCCCTTTAAATTTAACCTGAGCTCTTTAAGCCTCATAATAGCATGACACAATTTATGCCTCTATGCTTAGGGTGTTTCAATTTTAAGGACAAAAACTCATTTCTCTAAGTAGCTTTCCCATGCCACTGCTTTGAAAAGGCTGATTCCATATGATTTAATAAGAAACCAGCATTCTTAGTTTTCTAAAAGTATCTAGAATTAAGTTACATAATCTTAAATAAATTTGGCTACCAGCTTTATTTTGTAATACATCTTCTCCTCTAACATTTATGAGAGTTTTATAATCAGGGATATCTAGATAGTTGATATAGTCTCCAAATGACAAAGTTTAACCAGTATAGCTCTCACTAGTACTTATTTAGTTATCCAGTTATACGATGTACTTATTGAAACTCCCAAATATATGACAGATCATGGGAGTGGATTATACTACTTAGAATAAATTTCTTCATGTTCCATATTTATCTCCACAAAATAGGCATAATTAATTGTAGCTATCTAATATTTTCCATTTTAATAGTTTCCTCACACAGAGAGTCATTGGCAATATTTCCTTATGTCATAATTTCACATGCCATTAAAATGCTTACTTTAAAATATAGTGAAAATTTCTTTTGATTCTCTTAATTTGAGATAACATTGGGGCAAATTAAATAAGTTAAACCATTTTTATTAGATTATTATTTCTGATCATGAAGTAATACAGTTTGGAGCCAACAAAAAATTACTATGTTTAACCTAACTCTTTCACCACCTTTCAAAGACAAGTCTCCAAATGTTAATACTGAATGCAATTATATATTTAAATAATATGTGTTAGCATCAGGCATCTTATATTTGGCTTATGAGGAAAGGAAAAAATAAGCTGTAAAATTGTTCCTCAGAAGATGAAAGAAACAAAGTTATAGGTCTTTTGATGACTTTTATAGTATAGAGAGCAGGGGCTAGGTGAAACTGAACTGGAGCCTTTGCCTCAAATATTATTCATTCTTGAAAGAACCATAATGATGGGTCTAATTTCTGACAAGCATCTTAGAAAACCAATGACAACATGCTAAAAAGTAGAGCTTTTTGATCTGTGCTTTTGCCAGGTAGTTTCTGAGACCAAAGTGGGCAGTGACAGTAACAGTCTGGCCATGCTTTATGAGACAGCTGACCACTTCTCAGTTGAGCAGAATTGATGCTGACACGTCACAGAGACAGAAATTGAAACCCAAGCATTTATGTGCTTTTCCCACAGTCTGTGGTTAATGGGTATTTGAACCTAGGTCTCCAGGATCTTCTTTTGCTAAGCCTGGGACTAGACCAAGAGGATACACGGCACAGTGCTCTTGACCATCTTGCAGAACCACAAAGTACTGGAAATGTCTCAGAAAGGGATATTCTCTAGTGATTTCCAAACCATAGGTATGTCCTCTTAGGTAATGGCTAGGGAAAATATGATGCCTCTAAAAAAAGTTTCCAAGCCACAGAAACGACAAAGAACTGAGACAATGTTCAACCTTGTGCCCACCTAATTTGTGAAATATTGCTGCCTATGTTTTACTTTGCAGCTATAAATAAGAACATACTTTCTTTGCCCTCAGACACCTAAAGCACTTCCGTATGTAATTTCTCTAGGATGGAATAAAAGGCAGAAATATTAACAGATTAACTAGTTTCTTGAGATTTTAGTGATGACTACCCAGTTGCAGTATTCAGCATCTACTTGACTTGTTCTTAATATACTTGAGCATTACTTTTCTAGAGCAAGACACTGACTCTAAACTCATTTTAGGTAACTATCAGTTCAGTTTGATTCCTCAGACATTTATTGAGTGCCTGCTCTATTTCAGAACCATGCTAAGCACTGGGGTAAATAAATCATGAGTTATAGCTCCTGCTCTCCAAAACCTTGTAGTTTATTGGAAGAAATAAATTTCTTAGTAAATTAATTTAGTATTATATAGTATAGGCTAACTGAGAAACATTAGGGGCTATGGGAGAGATACTTAGTCAACTTAGTCCTAATGAAAAGAAGGTTCCCAGAAGGAGAAGCTACCCTAGTTGTAAGTTATAGTAGGAGTAAGCTTTATTCAGAGCATATCAGGCAGGGGAAATAGCCTAAGCAAAACCTTAAAGTACGAAAATTCATAATGTTTACATTTTATAGACAGTAAAATAAGGGAGAAAGAAGATGAGGCTGAGGAGGTAAGTCAGAACTAGAGTACAGAGGGATTATTTTATGATGAACTAAGGAACTTTGTTTGATAGACAACAGGAAACACCTTAGGAGAGTTATGTGGTAATATCTTTACTTGAACTAGATTTCTTAAGTTATGGCATGGAGAGTGGTCTAAAGGAGGCAAGACTAGAGATAGGAAGAAAGGGTAGGAGGCTGTTGCGCAGCCCAGATGAGAGCGAGAGCCTGGTGTAAGACAGTGACAGCAAGGACGGAGATGGAAAGAACAAGATATGATAATTATTTAGAAAATAAAGTTCTTGGGGTAAAGTAATTGAATTTGACATGATTGGGAGAGAAATAAAGTCTAGGGCATGCTTCTGTGTAGAGAGAAAGAAGTTGGGAAGTTGGGTCATAGACAAAAAATAATAATAGAGAAAAATGAGATTTGAAGATACATGAATAAAAAGGTAAAAAAGATTTGTCATAGTTCCATGTGAATAGCAACCAAGCAACATTATGTTTTAACATACTTTTGTCTTTATTTTTCATATCTTTTATACATAGTTTATACTATACTTAAAATGATTTATTCTCCCTTTTATTTTATAAAAATATCATTGAAAAAAGCATAATTTCATAATATTAAAAATTCTTTGAAAACATGCTTTTCAATAACTGCATAATATTTCTGTTGATGGATTTACCATAATTTTCTTAGTATGAAACTCATATGAAATAAAACACTTTTCTAGAAAATGATGAGAATTCCTTGCAAAGGCAGAATCTATAAACCTCATATGAAAATTGAATGAATGCTACCTAAAGATTTCATTAGTTTGAAGTACTTATAAAATGTTCCACAAGGAATGAGATCAATATTTCTTAGAAACAAATAGTCAAATTCACAGGGGTCCATCAAATATAGTATCTCAGGATAAAAATATAAAAAGTCTTCCTCTTGTTTGTCATCTGCATTAACATAGTAACAATATTGTATTCTGTTTAAAATATGGTTTTGGAGTTAAAGAAGATATATATTCAAGAACAAAAACAGTGAGGATTGTCATCCATCTTTTTCTTCTCTCTAGTTAAATGGTTCAGAAGAACAAGGTCTTCAGATTTTAAAAAAATTACTTCACCAGAGCTAGCCTTAGGCAAATCTACATTGTCAATCACATGGGTAAAATGTAGGCTGGGCTGCATAGTATTTTTCAAAGTAGATAATAAATGAAATATGAGAAACCAATATGACCTGTATTTATAATTCTCACTTCTTGGTTGGCATAGTCTAGAATTATTAAATATACAGACAATATTTCCGTTATTTTGGAGTATCTTCTCTTTTTTCCCCATCTTCTCAACAAGGAATTTTGGTATACATTTTTGCCTTTTGGTTTCATCTTTTGGTAGTTGAAAGACGATATGTAGGTGGTTTACACTCAGCGCCAGAATCAACACTCCTTCTGTTCTGAAAAGCTGACGATTTGAAAGCGTTTTTCCTTCTCTCAAGGATTTACTCAAGTATTTATGTATCTTGTGATAGTTGGCGTCAGTAATATTATTCCTTCATATTTTTGGATACTTTTATTTAGAATACCATGCTTCACAACCAAGGAAGCAAATTACCTATAAAGGATTGAATACAGCATTCTTTCCAATTATTTCTCTTCACATCACTGTGGAAGTTGCATTTAAATATATTTCATGCATATGTTCTATTTTCCTCAAGTGGAAATTATAGTCATTCAAGGGGAATAATGATGATATATTTAGAACTGCTCAATCTTTCACTGACTGATGAAGACCAAGTTCAAAGAACATTCTATGTATACAAAATACTGGTTTACTGTATCTTTGGAGTTAGCAACTTAGACCTTTAAAATTGGGGGTGAAATCAGCTGTTAAAAGTGGACACTTCAGGTACTTTCTATGCAAAAATAAGCAGACAGAGAAAAAAGAATTTTAGCTCCTTAATGGTATAGGAGTAGAGCTATGCTGTAGAGTACACAGTGTTTCTGCAGGTTTTAGCATTTAGAAGCTATATGATCTACAGAATTTTCTGCAAAATAAAAAAATTAAGATATTCCATAATTCCTTTCTCGGTCAAACAATACTTTCTGTGCATAAAATTAGTATGCATGACATAACAAAAAATT